ACATATTCCTGGTGTCTTCGGTCGTTGATGCTGCCAGGGAAAATGATGCTGGAGAAATGCTCCACATGTGTTAAGTAGTCCCGCGCCCTTGTCTCACTGCTTTTCTGTTTCTCCTCTCAGGGCAGCGTCTCTGGAGATGCTCAGTAAATCTTCATTACCTTAACAAAGTCTGCTAAAATAAAGGCTATTCTTAAGAGTAATTCTGTGACCATTTTGTTGCTATTGTGCAGTTTTCTCCTTGGCTTTGTGTTGTTCCTTACTTGACTTTTCATTGGATCCTGGAGCTTTTCCTTTGGTTTCTAACGATTTGTTCTATAGATCCTTTCTGGATTATCTTTACTATTTCCTTGCCTTTGTTTGCACAAATTTGTGTTCTTTTTAAAAAAAATTCTTCATTCAGAAATACATTCCTCACCCCCACTTAAAATTTATGTTTAAGAAGGTTAGTAGGCATCAGAACGTGTGTGTGTATTTTTTAAATATGTTGGATACATGATTATTGACCACCAAATTGTTCCCTTTATGGTGCAAAATCAAGGTGTGTCCTACTTTACAGTTCTCTCCTCTTGCTGTTATGTATGAAAAAGGATTAATGTTCCAACAATCAAAACTCATTTTCTTTGGTACTATCAATGCTATTTACCCATAATATGGTTTCCAGGCACTTGAAAATTCCGTGCTATACAGAATAATATAAATTCTGGCCTTTCCATATTTCTCCCTCCCCCTTTCATCTGCTTTTACCAGTTAACTGTTTTAATGTTTGTTGTTTAATAAATAGTATTAAGTAATATTTTTACTAGCTGAATGGAATCTGGTTGCTTTTATTTATATATAGTGATTGAACCGGAGTGTGCCAGGTGTAAGATTAGCCCCGGACGTTTCTCCAAATATATGTCTCTTCTATAAGATTTTAAATATTCACCAAGCTTCCTGGTGGATTAAATTATTTCTGTGTACTTTTAGCTACTGTTTATTATATTAAATTAAAGCTCATTGTCAAAACATATTTTTTCCATATTTAGAGTACAAAATTCGTTTCAATCCTTCCCCCATCTCCAATTTGGTTTCAGCAGCAGGAACAGAAATAAGTTAGTAATCAAAATTTGGGCTTGTGGGTTCTGCAAAATGTAGTAATTAATGTACCTAATGCCTTATTTTTTCTGAAATTCTCTCTTTGAATTAAGTAAGACTGTGATTAGATTTTTTTTTCCTTTTTTCCATAGGCAATTTTTCATTTGCATACATTTTGAATTGGATAATATATTGGTCAATGTTTCCAAATGGTTTGAAACATACCATTATTATTTTATGTAGTCTAATAAAAGGAAAATATTTCATAACAAAATAGAGAATAAAAATAATCTTTTGTGACAAGTCCCCCACCCCTCAGTCTGGTTATCTCCAAAGTGCACGCCCATTGTCAGTTTAACAGGGTACTGCTTGTATAAACATTCATGTTTCTCCTGTTCCATGTAATAGTTTCTTGTATCGTATTTCTTCTGACCCCGCTATCTGAAACCAATTATAGGAGATCCATTTGGGCTGCATCTATTTTCATAAGAAGCCCAGGCAGCAGAGATGAATATCAACATCAAATATGATCCTGAGTGCTTTGTTATTTATGTTTCAGAGAGATTTTGTAGCCTTCAGCTCTCAAGAATGTGTCATGCTGTGCTGTTTATACATTGAAGATATTAATGACCATAGATGTCATTTTTCATTTTAAATCTCAAATGCAACAGGCTGATAGGTTAAACATTCCTGTTTTTAACAAAACAATATGAGTGACATCTGTTTCTATTTAGAAAAAAAGGAAATGAGAAAACGTATCTTTAAAAAGAAGAAAATAATTTGTATACATTAAATAGAAACTTCACTAAATTGTTTTTTAACTGTATACTTAATTAGACAGTCCTAAAATAGGAAGAGAAATGAAAAATGTGCTTGTGTTTACAGACATAATTTTACTATCTTTAGGATTCAAATTTTAAAAATCATAGAGACATATTGACAGTATAATCTAAATCCTCTCAAAAACAAGCCTCACCATACAACAGAGAACTATTTCCCCTGATAAGTACATCTCAGAACACAGCTTTAGATGATTTTATTTGTTTGTATTTTGTTGCTAATTTTATTAGACAGCGAAAATGTTAATTCACACGCATATATTTTAACAATGATTTGCAAAAATACACAACCAAAATCTGAGTAATCTTTGATATCCTAAAGATCTATGGTTTATTTGCTCATTTCTGAATTCTTAATAACGAGATTGATTTATTCTATCATAATTTCTGTCTTTTAGTCAATTAAATTACATATTAAAATCATTTAAATTATTGTAAAAAGAAATTTTAAAAGCTGCTCTGATTTGTTGCTCATTTAAACCACAGATCCATAACAAATCAGAACAGCATTTTTCCTAGTTTGAAAATAATTCTATAGGTTAAAGATATTTTCATATATGTTGGCAAAATTTTAAATTTTAACCAATAATTCATATATTAAGCTCCATTAAATTCCATGCATAATTCATAACTTATACAATATTTTAAATATTCCCATGTGAAATAACACCAACCATTTCCTTTTTTAAAAATAAAATTGCACACAACTCAGGATATATATATATATATTGAGAAATGAAATGTTAAACGTTAGAATAGAAAGCCCATGATGCATTTCTGAAGAACAATTTGTTAATACCCAGTGAAATATACATGCAGTTACTATTTCTGTAATATCTTATATCTGAACAAACATACAGTATGCCAAGGGATCCCTGCTGTCTTCAGGTACAATTGTGACAGAAACCCTGAACTACCATTCACAGTCAGTATAGATAGTAGAAATGTGCCATTAGTCTAACTTGCTGTATGACAATTTCCCTTTTATGCGTGTGCCACCGTGTCCCATTTTCACTTTTTATGAGCCTCATCTTGTTTTATAATGGGTGGAAATTATCTTTCTTCAAGGTGATGGTATACAGAAGTGTGAACTCTGTCTCCAATAAAAGTATCTGACTTTTCAGAATGGTAGTTCATACTCTGGAGTTCTTATATAATGTCTTCTATAGATGTCTCCATTATATTTTATAAAGATTCATATTCTTGCAGAAAGTTTATAAGAAATCTGCAATCTGTTAAAAGCCTACCTATGAATTAATACTGCTAGATAAGTTCCTTGAAAATCCAGTTTGGGAATGCATATTTTTATTATTCTTTTCTAAGACAAATGCTCACATGCTTCCCATATCAATTTTAATCCTAATGTAGAATTTCATTTGCATTATCATTAACATTAATTTGTTCATATACTATAAATATATTTTTGGACTATATTAGTGGATTTTTGATTCTGAGAAACTTAGAGCAGACTTAAGTTAAAGCTGCAAATTATAAATACACCAATACCAACATAATTTCAACAAATTCCATTAAATAATTGCTAATATAATTTGATAATATAACTCAGAAGATGAGTTGGTACTATGTGGGCTCACAAGTCAACAAGAGCGGTCTATCTTTTCCTTTCTTTGTTTTGTCAACAAAATATTTCTAGGAAATAAATAGATGTAAGTAAAAATTGGTACAATGTGTAGAATTCAAGTTATGACTTTTTAGTTGGTTGTCTTACTGGTTTATAATTACCTAGGAATCATAAAAAAAAAAAAAACCAGAATGTTGTGGTAATGTGGCTATACTGAAAGGAGGTATATTTTTCAGTCTGGTATTAATGCCTTTTACAAGGAGACAAATCCATGTTCTTAGGAGCTGTGATACAGCATGTAGCTTGTTTACTTTGGTTTGTTGTGTCTGCTTGTTTTTTCAGAAACCTTGCATGGAGCCAGACTGTAGCAGCCTTCTCTCTGTCTTTTCATAATTGATCAGGGGATGACTGCTTTCCCGAGGGTTAAGACGTGGCAACTTTTTCTGTTTGCTCAGCATCTCAATGCAGTAGTTCAAACATTGTTCACACCAGCTGGCAGTGTAATGCCATATGCACATCTTGTCAAAGCAACTGTTGTCATGGATACTGGAAACTACCTTAAAAACTATCTCATTTGCGTCTAAGCAAAACTATCATTCTTTATCAGTTTGGTGACAATTTTTAGAATGAATACAATCCTACTAATGATATATCTGAATTCTGAATTGCTCTCTCAGTGTCCCAGTACTTTGTAGAAAAAGCTGAATATTTTATATAGTTTAATACCTTGGAACTCTAAAGTTGTAACAACTACATTTGTTTAAAGTTAATACTTTTTCTGGTAATTGGCACAGCTCCATATAATTCTGCTGTTCAAAGTTTACTTTATGTAATTCAAATGAACAAGTTTAAATACTATATTTTGATTACTATGCTATCACCTACAGAAGTTAATCTGATTGGTAAGTAGTGATTTCAGAGTTTAGTGAGAATGCAAATGAAAGCCACTTAATTTTATTTGGCATTAAAACTCCATTTTATTTTGTCAAACGACAGATTTCTTTTTGAATTGTAGGTATAAAAACAGTTTTTAATCTTCAGTGAATATCCTTATTAATTCACATTCAAGATAATCTGATGTTGATTCATTAAATTCAATTACAGCTTCCGGTATCACTTGAAGTCTACAGCTTTTAAAATTGTAAAGTGAAAATGCAAATTGAATGATGATTTACAAGGGTGTGAGCATTTTAGCTGAACACTTACAGACAAGTTCCTTGTGGAGATGAGGCTATTGATGCGGTTTATGATTTTTCCTCTTCAAGCATTTTATACAAATTAATGTTATTTCCTTGAGGATTTGTTGCACATATATGCTTTTTTCTTAAAATCTGATATACATACTATCTGTGGATTTTTCTTGCTTGTGTTTTAAAAAGATGCATTTTTATTTATATAGGAAAAGGCAATTTTGCTTGAAAATCAGCAATAGGCGAGTTACTACTGAAACATTTTCAACAAAATGCTTTAACTTTTATTTATTTCCATTTTGTCTCAACCTTCAGGCATTGCAAGCAGCCAGGCAACTGCTTCTACAACAACAGACAAGTGGGCTGAAATCTCCTAAAAATAGTGATAAACAAAGACCACTACAGGTTAGTGAAGCATCCTTACATCTTAAGCATAATTTCTAAAGAAAAGCACCCATACACACCTATATAATATGCACATCTGTAATTTCCTACTTGTGAACAAAATGCTTTGTCTTATATATTGGTAATGTAACTAATTAAGAAAGATCAGTATATAGCAGCAAGTATCCCTTTTAAATTACCGTACTTTGTAGTAGCTTAAAAGCTTGCACAGGTCAGATGTAAGTTTCAGTCTACTGTGCCAACAACCTTTCAGTGTATACTATATCTGGAGGTTGTGCACATTATTATCATAAACCAAATGGATAAATTTATGACAATGAAATAAACAATGATCTTAAATATGCAAAGAGGAAGCCCTTTTGCTATTCCGCATCTTCCTGCGTTGGTTATATATTTAGGATCTCTCCCTTTTCTCTTTTCAAATATTATATTAGAAATCTGAAAAAAATGTGATTGTTTTATCACATATTAGTTCATAAACCTTACAAATTATTAAATATTTATAATATTTAAAAGAAGCAAATATACATATTCATACATATAAAATTAAAATTAAATCTTATATTAATGCTTCATATTAACTTTTTGATGCTTATTAAAACAATGAAAACAGGCATTGCTAATGAGCTACTTCAAACTTCCTTTATTTGAAACAAATATTTATTTCTCACTTGATGTTTCTTAAGATGAATATGCATGGTTTTGGTAATAAAAGTAATGGTGCTCTTCTCACAATGATCCATGTTTATTTCTAATTTTTTTAAAAAAATAAGCACAAGATTTTTGTTGCAATTATACTTCTTTGAGAAAATACTACTTTTATTTTCTTGAAATCAATGACTATTTGAAATATTACAAATTATACATATGCTGTTCCAAAGTGCTACTGGTAGCATTTTAAATGTTTGGATACTCCCTTCAGTCCCTCTGTTAGTTCTAATCTGAAAGTGTTTTTCTTTTTTGGGCCTAAGTCCTAAATACCTGTTGCTTGGGAGGGTAGATATATGGGGAACTTGTTGCAATTTGAATGCTATGTCATGGAAACTTGATAAATGTTTATCCCATCCGCATGGTATGATCACCACGATAGCTAGATATTGTGAAGGGTGGTTTTTAAAGCCAAAATGAGGGAGATGAAATATTTTTCAAGTACGTTGGGGGGGACTTATGAATGAAATCAGCAAGTTTGGTAGGGTTGAATCTCACACAGAATTCCTCTAAAAATCACTTCTGCAACTATTATATTTTTCTAGGACAATTATCTCTCCTGGGTTAAGCATCATTGATCTGCTTGTCTCATGTTTGAATCATGTAACTAGCTTAGCCATTCATGCAATGAATAGGGTTTTGTCAAAATGCTGCTCAAACACATTTGGTTACATAATGCTACCACTGAAATTAAGTAACAGCTAAGTAAATACTTTTTCAAGGAATACTGAAAATGTGGTGAAATCATAACTGTAATATTCAAAATTAGATAATTATTCTGAATTATAATTAGGATTTAGGGCCACAAGTTAGCCGTTTAAAAATATGCTATAAAAAGTACCACATAACTTCAGTGGATCCATACATGCATTTGTGGAAGCTCCATTGGTGATTATCTTGGGTCATTCACAGATCACTGTGTTGCTCTATGGACCTCTGAACTCTATCCAACGGAGATGGTAGCCTTGCTGTTGTTTCACGGTGAAAGATGTGAGTAAAGAGCCCCTGATTTTGCCAGTGTTGCATTTGCAATACTCAGTAAAATGTAGAAACTGTAGTGCCCCTTATTTCAACTTCTCATTTTCTTTTGAACAAATAAGAGATTAAAAAGAATTTGGAAATTGTTATCTCAGGATAACAGATTGTTTAAGAAATACCTAAGGAGAAGAGGAAAAAACCCTGTTCAGACATAAGAAAAAAAGATAGTTACCATGATTAGAAAAAGTAATGGAATCAAAAAACTCATATATTTCTTCCCACTCCCACTCTCCACATTTATGATGCAGCTTTGAAGAATATTTAGTAATTTTCACTACTGTGTAGTTTGGAATGTACCCTATCATTCATATCCAATAACCATAGTTGATCTTTTCGTAGTTTATCATAGAGCAGTTTAAAAATATGACTCATCAATTTGGCTTGTTTCAACAAAGATTAGTTGAGGAATTTTTATGTAATTCTTGTTAATGAAAAAGAGATGCAAGAGTTCTGATTTCTACTTATGGGTGCATTAAAGCAAAAGAGCATAATTGACATTATGAATTTATAATATGAATGACGCAAGTGTGATGGGAAGTATAGAAATTTAATAAATAAAATATGAATAGATAAATAATATAAATAAATGCTTTGTTGGTTATTTATATGATGAAATTATATTCTTAAATTTCTAAGTAGTCCTTCAAATAATTTAATAGTTCATGTAAAAAGATTGTTTCAAGAAAATTGAGACATTTTGCAGAGTTCTAATCCTGAAGAAAGGAAACAGATCATTGCAAACCCTGATCTGATTATATCAACTATAGGATAATTAAAAATACAATATGAATGTGCGATTTTTGAAATTGTACAAATTGTTTGTTGTAGTTTTAGCTAGAATTTCTGTTTATAAGTTTCATATATTGCTTTTTAAATAAGTTTCTCTTTGTTCTTGATTTAAATTTAATGTTCTTTATTTCATTTTTGTGCATGCAGTAATATAATTTCTAATCTGAGCCTAAAATATTTTTAAAGTGTAAGCTTTAGAGGGGAAATTTGCTAATAAATCATAGAGTTTAAATATTTCTGACATTATCTATCTAAGGAAAGCAAAACATTGTTCATCATTTAGGTGAGATTTATCTCTAATATTTTGTAATGTAGCCAGATAATTGATCGCTTGAAATAGCATTCTCTTTTTAATGCCAGGTTTAATATTATTTTCTGATAATTTCATTAAAATAACTTTTCATATAAAACAAACATTTACAATTCAGATTCAATATGTGAAGTGTAATCCTGTATTGTAGTCTCACCATAGCCTTTAGAGTGTAGGTAGATTGCACTATTAAAATTACAAAGTAAATACCACTGCACTTACTGCAGTGTAATCAGTTTTAGGATCAATCTGCCTGTTATGAAGTGAGCTGACAATGCAGTCATATAGCCTAAAAGGACCAGTATAATCCATCAAAATTTTAAATGTTATCCTGTATATTTTTTATTTTTCTGTTTGGCAGAAATTGGATGATCTGGCAAACTGCTTTATAAAAGTTTTAATAAAACTATAGATATCAGCAAACAAATGACAAATGAGGTAATATTCCAAAAATATTTTACAAAATGATTTGTACTGGAATTTATCCTTCCAGACAGCTTGTTTATCCACTTGCAGAACAATTATCACATTCTTGGAAGAGCTGAAATACTGTTTCTTAAATGAAGTTGAGTTTATGCTTTAAAATTAAATTTTGAAAAGCTGTTAATCAACTCTCAATCCAAAGCTCTTGATACACTACATTTAAAATGTTATTTATGATTAGAAATATTTATTTTAAACTCTTCCGATGTTGTAGGCAATTTTAACCTGAATAAGAAACACTACATATGCAGTCAAAAGCTATATAAAATATACATTTTAAAGTTTATTTGTTTGATTGATGCCATCCAATTCCAAACAATTCTAAGCAGCTGACAGTACACCAAAACAATTTAAAAACAAATAACAAGGCAGTATAACACAATATAAGGTGAGATGGGTGGCATATAAATTTAATATTAACAAACAAATACATAATGTGTTGCATTATAATATAAGAGAGTTTATGTGTATGAATTATTATTTTTTATGTCTTCAGAGGATTTTTTGTATATGCAATATAATAAGAGAACACAGGAAAAGCTCTTGGAAGAAGAATTAATATTCATAAATGTTCAAATAGTATGTGTAATGAGCCTCCTGTGCAAATCATATGATGAAGTAACTCTGCCAGTTGAAGTGTCTTCTGGGTATGCAGATGCTTGTTAAGATGAAATCGGGAGAGCCTCAAAATGCCTGAGTAGATCCTTCCAGCATACATTGCTACATTGCAGATTTGAGGAGAGGCATTTGTGTGAAGTGCCCTGTCAAATAATTTGCACTGGCCTAGCAATAGCATACATTACTGACTGCTCTTACATTTGAAGGTACTAAAATATTTTTCTTGAGGGTTTTTTAAAATCTTGCCAGTGAATTAAGGTAGCATTAAACAATAAGTATGGTGGCTCAGTAAAACTTGCCTTGCATAGAGAACATCACAGTTTAAATTCTTGCATGAAAGACGAAGGAATTGGCAGTATCTTCATGGTACCCTCTGTCTAGATAAGTATTATTTTTATAACAAATTAAAAATAGAACACCATGCAACTGTAACTATAATTGTCAGGATACCAAGAACAAGTTGTATTATTAGGTCAATGTCGCCCAGTGGTATCTACAATAACCAACAATAACAGCTTTTCTGGTTTTCAAACTTTTTGTTTATTTTTAATTTGTTATAAAAATAATAATGTCTTTTCAAAGATAATGGGGGGAAACTACACATAACATCTTTTTAGAAAAAAATATGAATTAAAATTTAAAAGCTTGCTGTAGAATTATATAATTTCAGTGGGTCTTAATAAAGATATTTATATATTTTAGATTAAAGGCTTGGTCAGTTCCCTTTCTAATTTATTCATTATAAACTATTTTAATTTGTGAAACACTGAGTTTATTGTTGGTTTTTTTTGTCCTTGAATCTCTTTTTTGTCTCTTACTTTGAGTATCATCAATTTGTGTCTATGTTGTCATATGTGGATTTGATCATCTCTATTTCTTATCCAGATGTCAGGATGCTTCCCAGTTAAACCAATTGCTGACAAGTTCTAGATCATACCTTCAGTCCTTCTGCAGGCTAAGTAATACTCTCTGAATAATGAATTACAGAGATCTTTCTGATGAACTATTTTTGGAAGGGGAAGTTACTGGTTCATTAACTTTGCTTTCCTGTGTC